AAATAGGGACAAACCCAGCAATTGGGCTGTTTTGACCCAGCGGTTTGGTTAAATGTTTAACCCAACCTTCTGGGTCAAAACAACCCAATTGCTGGGTTTGTCCCTATTTTACCCAGCACTGGGTTGTATTTAACCCAGCATTTTTTTGAGTGTGTATATACTGTATACCCATAAATAGTACAAGATGATTAAAATGGGACTATTTTGCCAACATTTTGTGTATTTTTTATGCTTATTAAATTGTGTTGTTATATTAAATGAAGTTTAAATGGTTAACTTATTAAATTATAATTTATTAAAATTTTCAATAGCATTTCCAGAGGTCATTTTTTATCACTCTGAAATCTAATTTAACACCAGGTTAAATGTGCAGTATAGTAACCCCTCACCTATCCCACTGCTGCCACACAATGAACTCGAGTAGCAGAGGAGTCTGATGTCTGTGACCCTGACAGGAGATAAGTGTTTGTCTTGTTGGTTGGCACTCAGTGTGCATGCGATGGTAATCCGCCAGTTGTTAGCACAACTGCCACGTTGCCTGTCCATTTCTCTATAATGCTGACAGGCAGGCTTGAGCGCGGTTAATCCCCGTCCCAAACGCCCGTCTCCATCAGACTGATAAAGGCCAGCACATAAACAGCTCTTAATGAGAGTGGACAGCATGCAGAGGAAGTGTCCTCTCTCCCTGCTGGCCCCTTCCAAAGTCTTTGACTATCTCACTCTTTTATAATATGAGATGGATTTTAGTGGAGCTGCTGAGCTATGTATTTTTAGTTTGATCTATTCTTGACTTTTCTTATTGCTTATGCTTCGGGTTAGATATTTAAACAAACTCCTAACCCTAAATATTAAAGTATTATTTTTCTGAGCGATTATATTTATCATTTTTGCCTGGCGGAAGGTATCATTCTGTTATATACAGTATATTTATATTTGGTTAGATTTATATATTTGGATTTATTTTTTTAAAGAAATTAATAATTTTATTCTTCAACGATGCATTAAATTGATCAAAAGTGAGAGTAAAGACTTAAAATTAAAAAAAAAAAAAAAAAAATTTCAAATAAATGCTGTTCTTTGGAACTTTCCATTAATTAAAAATTCCTGAAAAATGTGTATTATGGTTTCCACAAAAATATTAAGCAGTACAACTGTTTTTAGTGTTGATAATAAGAAATGTTTCTTGAGCAGCAAATCAGTATCTTAGAATGTTTTTTAAACTGTTATGTGACACTGAAGCCTGGAGTAATGATGCTAAAAATTCAGCTTTACATCACAGGAGTAAATTACATTTTCATATATATTCAAAGAGAAAAGAGTTATTCTAAATTCAGTTTTTAGTGTATATTTAATCCAATAAATGCAGCCTTTGAGTATAAAGGATTTTAAAAACATAAAATCTTACCAGCCCGAACTTTTGAACAAAATGTGTGGCTTAAATCAGGGGTTCAACCATAATATTACGAAGCTACGAGAATACTTTTTATGTGCAAAAGAAAAGAAAAAAAAAAAAACGACTTTATTCAACAATTCGTCTCCTCCGCGTCACCCTAGCGCCATTTTGGAGAATATCCACTGAACGCAAACAGCGTATGTTGTTCTGTGTTAGCCGCGCCACGCGGATACATTGTTTTCGTTCAAATCCAAGCACAAACAATGTAGAAAACGTATCCGTGTGGTGCGGCTGACACAGAACAACATACGCTGTTTGCGTTCAGTGAATATTGAGGGTGACTGAGGGTGAGTAATTAATGACAGAATTTTCATTTTTGGGTGAACTAACCCTTTAAATGTCTAGATACTTTTGGGGCCACTTTATATGTTTTGGCTTGATATAACGTAGTATTTAAATAACTTTCACCGTTGTGCCCCGGAGCAAGACTCTTAACCTTAAGATGTTTCCAAGGGGACCATCTCTAATTAGTGTATGGTAAGTTGCTTTCCCAGATTAGTAAATTAGTCATTAGTAAAAACTCAAATACAAGTGCCTACCCTGCTTCCTCTGAGCATGTGAACACATTGAGCTCAAGCATTTCAGCAGTAAAGTCACATGACCTGTCACCAACTACACATTCCTTTGAGATTTTGATATGAAAACAGTCTCATTCTTGATTTATTTTTTCAGAATTTTTCGGGCGGCCATCCAAAGAGTTTCACGACCCACATGAGAGAAAGAGACATTTCAAAAGCACGGTTACCTCTTTACTTCTTGCAAAATTATATCGTACAGCCAGACACACATAACATACATTTCCATCCTTTGAACACACACTCAGGCTTGCGGCTCGACGCCAGTATGACAGCCCACTCTAAACAGACGGCCTCCCCCGCAATCACGCCGTGAATTATTTAGACTGTTGATTTGATGTGGCAACCAAAACAACAAATCAGAAAACAAATGAAGTCGACCTCCGTCTGTGTATCTGTGTGAATTATGTAGGGCAAAAGCTTTCATGTAATGTTTGTGTTTGTTTTCCACTATTTGATATGTGCTTAATTAAAAGTTTACCATGAGTTACGCACTAGATTTTATTACTTAGGGTTAGGGGGTTTTCAAAAAGTAATAGTTATAATTATATATATATAAAAAATAATAAGTAATAATTCTTGCTTTATGAGACACACCATTGGCTATTACAACTAGTTGCAGTTCTGTGCTAAACTGAGCAACTTTCTGTGATATTTCCACACAGGAAGATGGGAGCTTCTCACTGGCGTTCAGCACAGCCTGGGGTTCAGAGCGTTAAGACAAACAAGGAGAACGCACCTCACAGAGTAAGAGTTTTCATGCAGATACACAAATAAAGTCTGTCAGCCTATCTGTCTGTTTAAAATATCCAGTTACAATCAGGCTGACTTCACCTTCATTCATGCCAGGGATAGTCCAAAACCTTGGACGCACTTTCTAGAATTAACTGCATGAACAGTTCACCGGTGGTTTTGGTGATAATGTGGTGTTTGAAATATGTTGTTTCGGGCAGCTCTCTCCAGGCAAGATGAAGATTAGAGTGCTGAAGGACGAGCCTGTGCCAGGTAGGTGGACTGGAATCTGAGATGTGTTTTGCCTGGCTTGTTTTGAACTCCTTTTCCCCTCAAATTTATCACTTGGACACAAGCATAGTAAAGTCTTAATTACATAACCCTTCTTTTTTTGTAAGAATTTCCGAAAGGTACAAGTCAAAATGGTCTTTAATTATTTTCCAAAGTCTAGTAACTGACACAAAACTTGTTCCAAACAATATACAGAATAATTATTAAGGCATCACGTGTACTGTATATGTTGCAGACATTGCACTGCAAAAAGTAATTTTCTTGGTCATTATTTTTGACTTATTTTCTAGTAAGCGTCCTTATAACAAGATAAATATACTTGAGAAGCAACACACTGAGTAAGATAAGATTTGTTTTCAGAGAACATCTATTGAATTATTAGGGGCCAAGCCCTGAAGGGGCTGTAGTTAGGGGCCATCTGTTATTTTATTTTTCCCCAATTGGAGTCTATGGCAGCCCTATGAATGGAGCATAGGAAAATGATTAAATTTGGCACACTTGTAGTGATGGTCATGAATAATGATCTGACCAACTTTGTTACGCAGTACATGTAATGTCCAATACAGTTTTTCACCGTATATAGTAGGGGAATTTACCGTTAACCATTTAACAGGCTTTTACTGTAGCATTTTTACAGTCTTTTACCGTTAAATTCACGGTCATTTTTTACAGTGTACGCCTTCAAATTTTGTGAGATGAACTTTGGACTGAGCCACACAGAAATGACTGAACAGAATTGTATGTCCAACTGGTGAGAAAAAAGTTATGATGATGTAAACGATGTTGACCCAAAATTGGTTCAGAAGCTGTATCTCGGCCAAACTTTGGTCAATCGAAACGAAACTTGGTATGCTTCATCACCATGATCTGAGGGCCCATGTCAAATTTGGCAACAGTGCCACCTATGGATCATGAGATACGAAAAATGTATTATTTTGCTAATAACGTTTGAACTGTTAGTCAGAAAGTTATGATCTTGGTGTCTGTGGATTCCTTGGGTCATGTCGAATCTGTGGATGTCGATTTTGCCAGGATCAGATAAACTGCCTGTCCGCCATTTTGAAATTTGCCATAAATTGTGATATCTTTTGAACTGATTGACATATATGCACAAAAATTGGTAGGAATCATCAACAGCATGTCCCAGAGGTACCTGAGAAATTTGAGCACAGCGCCACCTAGTGTTCCAGAGATATAAAGATATTTGCAAAAATGCTTATAACTTTTGAAAACATTGTCCAAATTTTTTTATTTTTGTATCCTTTCATTCCATGGGTTTGCCATTTTGTCCACCATGTCCGCCAAATTTAATTAAATGAATAACAGTTTTTTTACCTACTTCTCCTATAAATTTCATTTGAACTTCTGTTCATTCTGCATTCATTCTCACCTATAATTCTGAACTGGGTGTTTTTCCATGTTCATTTAATTTTTGCTGTTTTTGCTCTTCCTGCTTTGCACTGGGCTACAACCCTACTATTGCTGCTTGTAGCTATATTTATTATCGTTTTTTACCCCATTGGTAAATTGTTCATGTTTTAAACAGAAATTAGACAAACTTTAATGAGATTTGTCCATTGATTTGTTCAAGAAAAAAAAAAAATGACTTAATTTAAAATACATTCTCTGAAAACGAGAAAGAAATAAAGATAACAATAATGATCTTTTGCAAGGTGAAAACAGTACTGCAAGTGAAATTATAAATGCACTTTATTCAGTATTGCAAAGTCTTGATGAAAAGGGCTCCATCTAATTAATTAATTGGCTATTTTATCCAAAAGTTTTGTTTTATTAGAGCATTCATGCAGGGTCCTGTGTTCCCCAGATATATATGGCACATAATGAACACATAACAAAGGATCCTTTGTTCCCTGGGTTAAACTTTTGAACGGTAGTATGGATATACTTCCATATTGAATCATTAACTTAGTAACATGCTATGTACCAGCTCTGTTGGAATCTACTGTCGAGTCTCACATGTTGAATACTATTTGTGTGATGTCGATGCGCTTGTGGAACATTCCAAATCAGTCAGATGACATGATTCTCTCAGAAGTTACCATCCTATGTAGGCAGTTGATGATGAGGTAGCTCATTAAATTATGGAACAGATTTCATGTGTAGAGTTCTGAATTGTGTGTGTCTTTGTATAACTGCAGCAGTACAGGAGCAGGTAATAGCGGAACGAGCCGCCAAGGTACATGGCACTAACAGGAAGCTCAACCTGAAAGGAAAAGTCTGTGGACAGTGTGAAGTTCAGCTGGCCGGACTGGTGAGTTTTCATCCGTTCTGTTATGTGAACAGAACTATTCTTAATTCCAGACTATCCATCCCTTTCATTCATCATGCATCATGTCTCAGGTATACACTGTAAAGTGTAAAGCTCTTAAAGCTCTAAAGTTAGCATTTTTTGCTGGAGTTTGCATTTATTTGATCAAAAATACAATAAAAACAGTAATATTGTGCAATACTGTGTATTGTTACTATTTAAAATAACAGTGTTTTCATTTGTATACATTTTAAAATTAAATGTATTCCTGTGACACAATGCTGCTTAATATTTTTGTGGAAACCGTAAAACATTTTACAGGTTTCTTTGATGAATACAAAGTTCAAAAGAACAGCATTTACTTGAAATATATATATATTTTTTTAGTTTAAAAAAAGATTAGTTTTTACTGTCACTTTTGATCAATTTATACATCCTTGCTGAATAAAACCATTAATTGCTTTTCAAAAACATGTTACTGACCTCTAACTAAAACGACCGTTTCGTGAACCTAGGAGAGGAGGTAATTCTGACTTTGCTATGATTCGAAATAGAATGTACTGTACTGTTTACTACAAAATGCATGTACACTGGATACTGCCTGCCTACTTAATTTTTCAATATGTGAAATATACTTCTCTGACATCATGCTTTTAAATCAGATGCATATTGTACATAGAAATGGCTGATATCTCCAGTTTCTCGTGACTGAGTGATTGACTGGCTTGTATGGCACTTCCAGTAGTTAGTTGAAAGTAAAATAGAAACTAGAAATCCATGAGCAGAACTGTATATTCAGCTTTGTGAAATTATCTGTAAATGTCTGCTATGTATGAAGAACTTCGGCTTTGAAATAGGAAACATTTGGACAGACATTGCAAAGTCTACACATTTCCACTCATTTGAATGAGTTGGTGTTTACTACTTTAGACCTTAAAGGCAGGGTTTGTGATTTTTCAAAAACACTTTAGAAAACTGATTCGGGCCGAATCGCAAAACAAACTTGTAGCCAATCAGGTAATAAGGGGCGTGTCTACTCGTGATGTGGAGGAGAGAGCTTTCAGTGCATGGGACGGACATTAGCCGAGCCGAGCGACAGAGAGATAGAGATGGCGGATAAAAAACAAAAGAGGAAAACGTCTGCGGAACGATAAGGCAAGAAGTAGGACCCGTGTAAATATCGGATCAGCTTTCCAGCGCTGGAGAGAACTCAAGGAGCGGAGGCCTGCGATCGGACGCCGAGGTTGCTTTGTTTCTTCTCAATAGTTGAGTAACACCGTGTCTACAACAGCTCTGCCTACACTGGACGCGATCAAACGACCATTGAAAAACATTTGAAATTTGTGTCAGCACGTCATAAATAGAACCCGGCAGCAGTTTTCTGTCGGGGATTTGTTGCACCGTGCCGCTCACATCCGTAGACACGGTGTAATACTGGTTTTGCTTTATTTCACAGAACTAATCGTTGCCTGGGTTGCGTACGTATATGTGGGGCGGAGCTATCAAAATAGGGGCAAGACCCTTTTGGGGTAGGGGCGTGTTTGTTTTGGTGATTTCAAATATCAACATTGGCTACCAGAAATCACTTACTCTGCCTTTAAACAGCATGGAAAACAAACCAAATTGTGACTGGTCACTTGACCTTTAGACTAATGAAGTGGCAAGTGCAAAACTATGGCTGCACTCAGAAGAGCATATCACCTTTATGTTGCTTATCTTTATCTGACAGAAATATTGTGAGTTGTATGCTTGTATATGTTTCCACCTATTTTAAGTTGCAGAACTATTTCAGACTATGGTCAGTGTTATTTTAGTAACCTATTATTTACATACTATTCAAATAATATTTTGGATGAGCTTTCATTTTTATATCTTCATTTTAATTTTAGTAGTAATGTTTATGTGCATAGTTCTTTTTATCTTTTTATCTTAATTTATTTTTATTTAAGTTTTAGTCATTTTAGTATTTTAACAAACTTATTTTCAGTTAGTTGCCAAAACAACGTTTTTGTTTAAGTTTTTAAGTCTTAAGTTTTTTATCATTTATATTCATTTTTATATATTTCTATTTAGCTTTCATTTTTTATTTAAGTTTTAGTCATTTTAGTACTTAAACTTATTTTATTCCAGTTAGTTGCCAAGACAAGTTTTTACGTTAAAGATTTTCATCTAATATTTATATTATATTTTATTTAACAAAAGCACTTTTTTAATAGTTTTAATTTTAGTAAACAATAACAACACTGACTATAGCATTCTGCATTGTTTAATATTTAATTTTGTGGAAAATAAGTCTTACGTGAGAAAGTAAGCTTCTGGTTCATTTGTAATGCTGGTAACAGAAGGTTAAGTAGAGCACACTGCATTGTGGGATACAGTATTTCATGCAGTGTGCTTTGCATTCACATTTTGGCAAATGTCATAGGTTAAATCGATATTCGATACAAACATACTACTGTGCAAAAATGTTCATGTAGACTGCAGAAATATTATTCCAAACATATCCAAAGTCTGTCCAAAGGAATTCAAACTCTTCCGAGCATCATGCCTCTCTCAAGCTGAAGTGCTGCATCATCATACAGAGAAGACATGCAGATGTTCAGACCGAATGAATCAAGACAGCAGGCTGGATTCATTTACAAGTGTCTCTTCAGCTGTGGGTTTGATAGACCTTCCTTTAAATTCTTATGCTGCTATGCAGTCTGTCTTTCTATCTGTCCGTCTGTCCATCAAACGGGCTCTCCTACCGTCCTCCGCATTCATTTACAATCGGTAACAAAATAATGAGCTCCCTTAAGATACGTGCAACTCCCGTCTCTCCATTTTAATATGTATCGTGTTATGCAAAAAGTGCAAGATATTTAAATATATATTGCTGATATTAAAGTTTTTGGGGTGAATATACCTTGCCGTACAAGTCCTGGGTTCATTTAATTGTTTTTGATCTGTTTCAGATGTGTGCGGAATGCGGAGAGGATTATTGTGTGGGCTGCTTTGTCAGATTCCACCAGAAGGGGGCACTGCAGCGCCATCGTATGGTTCCCGTACAGGTGAGGAGGTGTTCTGACAACCTCCGTCCGTCCCACACACACACGCACACACCTACACACGCCCGCATCAGCGCCAGGCACACACTTCCAGATTCAGTCTTCCTCCTCCATGCCGTTTCTCAGAAACGCAGAACGCTGGTCACTATTAGTGGACAATCTGCTCACTCTAACCCAGCTCTGATTACACACACCTGTTCCCAGGTTAGAGAACAGCCACACAAACACACACAGCTAATGTGTGTTCACACACACTCACTTTCGTCAGCTTGAGTTTGTTTTAGAGAGTTGAGCGGCCACTAAGTCTGACCACTTAGAAAAGTACCTGCACTCCGCTTCTCAAAAAGCCACATGATGTGAGGTTTCATTCACGTTCAGGATGGGTGCCTTAGCCAATACAACAAATAAGCAGCATAATGTTTTTTTTTTCTTCATTTCGTTTTGTTCCCATTAAATTAACTGTGTTTATGTAAAAATAACTGTGCTCATTAAATTACCTTCTAGCTTTATGTGATTTTACTATTATAGTATCACTCTTCCGCTTCTCAAAAAGCCACATGATGTGAGGTTTCATTCACGTTCAGGATGGGTGCCTTAGCCAATACAACAAATAAGCAGCATAATGTTTTTTTTTTCTTCATTTCGTTTTGTTCCCATTAAATTAACTGTTTATGTAAAAATAACTGTGCTCATTAAATTACCTTTTAGCTTTATGTGATTTTACTATTATAGTATCACTCTGATCTACACTTACTTAATTGGTAACGGAATGAAGGTTGACACTAATTACACTTCTGTGTATCTAACTATGTACAACCATAATTAGTACATTTCTTCCAAGAAAAGAAAACTACATACAGTACCGGTCAAAAGTTTTGAATCATTACGTTTTTTTTTTTTGTGTGTGTTTTTGAACTCTCTTTTATGCTGCATTTATTTGATCAAAACTGTAAAAACAGTAATATTATTACAATGTAATAGAAATGTGGAATTTTTTAAATCTTCTGCAACATGATAATTATCTTTACTGTCATTTTTGATCAATTCAATGCTCCATTGCTGAATAAAAGTGTTGTTACTGACCTTAAACTTTTGCATGGTAGTGCATCACGGATTCCACAAAAATTTTAAGTAGCAAATCAGCATATTAAAATGTTTTCTGAAGGATCATGTGACACTGAAGAATGGAGTAATAATGCTGAAAATTCAGCTTTGCTTCACAGAAATAAATTACATTTTAAATATATCACAACAGAAAACTATTTTGAATTCTACTAATATTTCACAATATTCCTGTTTTACTATGTTTTTGATCAAATAAATGCAGCCTTGGTGAGCAAAGGAGATTTCTTCCAAAACATTGAAAATTATTCCCAATTTAACTGTAGTGGGTTTCTGATATTTAGCTGTGCATCTACTGTATATAGTAAGATCCATTTTTAATAGTTTAAGTTACATTTTAACTTGACCCTCAGGGTCATTCAGACTGTGTTGAGTCAACTGGGAAAAATCAGCTCATTATAGTTTCCATAAGCGCTAACCCCAGGGCATACAGGGAACATACCTCACCATGACCCCATGTCCTAAAGCACTCCATATAGGCATACAAATATGTTTAGGCATCATCATGTGTGTGTCAGTGTTGATCGTAGCATTTGAGGTGCTCCAATTATTGCATACTACAGGTATGCTGGAACGGTGTGGAGATTGGCTCTTCTTCTGAGAAGATGACCTTGAGTGACCCACATAAACCCTTCACATCTGTCTTCATGTTTACATCCCATCATGCAGCATTAGGCAGCAAATGTGCATCACCAAACTTATTTCTGCCCTGTGTGATGCTCACCCTGCACTGCCGCATACTGAAAGCCGTAGTTACACAAACACAAGCAAACAAGTCCAGATAGAGGAGAAACAGAAGAACCCATAGGCTCTAGTCTAGTGAGCTTCCTTGTTGTCTACCGTCTACATTAGTGTTATTTTAGTATAATATACCATTATAATATTTATTAAAGGTATTACAGGTATTATTTTTTTTACCCAAAAATAACATTTCTGTTGTTTACTCACCCTCATGTTGTTCAAAACCTGTGTAAGTTTCTTTCTTCTGTTGAACACAAAATATATTTTGAAGAATGTAGCCAAACTGTTTCTGATCCCCATTGACTTCCATAATAATTTTTTTCCATACTATGGAAGTCAATGGCTACCAGCAACTGTTTGGTTACCAACATTCTTCAAAATATCTTCTTTCGTGTTCAACAGAAGAAAAGAAGCTTATACAGGTTTGGAAAAAAACATGAGTGTGAGTAAATTATGACAAAATTTTCATTTCTGGGTGCTGCTTGAAGGGAGTGTGCAGTCTTGGCAAGAAACTGAGAATTGTATTTAACTACACTGGGCTCTGATGCAGCTTTAATCATCCTAATCCTGTTTAATTTGCTTCCATGGGGGAAAAAGGGAACAAATATTAATATTTTTGTCCCCAGGGTTCTTTGCAAACTTGGTTTGTCTGCGTCTGCTTTTGACAAAGAGGCATTTGTCCATTTGCTTTTAATTCATTCTCTTTTATCTCTGTTTTCAAATTACACACATTTATTCTCCATTTAATAGTTTCCTATTGCTTTCTATTGTCTGCAAATCACTATGCTGAGATAAACTAATTCATTTGCTATTGTTTACTGTAGTTTGAGTGCATAATACAAATCTATTCACGAGACAGTCAAGGTCTTATCTGGTGAGGTAAGAGAAAGCGTTATTCAGCAGGCCCGACCACCATAATGGCCACTAACAATGTTATCTTAAGGACATAATGTCATAAAGAGGAATTCGTTGTCTGGCTACCAGTTATTGGGTGAATTATATGATTTAATCAAGCTTTTCTAAATGGCTATTATTCATTTGCACTTTTTATGGAGAAATTTGATAATGTTTGCAGTAATCGGTAATAAAAAAGAGCAATTACTTGGTGTGAATATGATAAAATTAAAGAAACCCTATTATGCTACATGTAAGTACTGGGTTTTAGGTTTCCCAATATATTGTATGACATATTTCATGGTTACTACTTTTAAAATGAAAAGTGCACTGTAATTGTTTTCTAAGTTGTAAATAAAGCAAATATTATTGGAGTATGTCATACAAGAAAATACTATTTCAGGTTTTCTACTTCAACATTTCACATTAAATTCAGTGTGTAACTTGCCATTTATTTGCAATTGTTTGTGAAATTTGTTAGCACATTCTGAGTGAAAATTGCTTCTACACCATTTTTTTCCAGTGTGTGTACAATGTCCTGCCCAACAGTGTTATTTTAGTGTCATTTCATTATATAAGACTATTATATTTTTTATTATTCTTTAAATGTCTGTGTGTGTGTGTGTGTGTGTGTGTATATATATATATATATATATATATATATATAGTTTCAGTTGTTTTAGTATATCAAGTTAGTCTAGATATAAATGAGCTGAAATAAAATAGTATTAAGTTTTTTATATTTCATTTTTTTTTTCAAGTTTTAGTTTTAACCCTGCTGCCCCATAGACTTAGTGCATTACCGTTTACATTATTGTTTCTTGTTTCTACGAACTGACAGATGAATATTTTATTGGAAGCAACAGCGTGTCACAGATGCTGTCTATAAAGCTTGTTTTGAACACAGGACATCCATTTAATGATTTGGATGAATGCTTTACCTATAAAGAGTGTGCATTCATTCGGTTGCATCAGTACATTAGCCGAATCATTAACAGGATGCATTTGTACACTTTGAATTAAAGGTCTGACTGAAATCTATGCTTCGTCATCCAGGCAGAGCTCCAGACCCCTGTCAGCACTCGGGATGTGTTGGGCCGCTTCCAGCAGCAGGTAAGCGGCAAGGAGAATCAACAAAGTGCATCCCCCAAATCTGCTGATGAAAGTGAAGCTACAGAGAAAAGATCAGCTCCTAGGATCCTTTGGCCCATTTCTGAAAACCAAATACACCACACACAGGTGAGCCACTGATTGTTTGGGGTGGTACATCAAACTGCTTATTAATTGAATCATATATTTAGCTTCTTTGGGTCAAATCCGGTTAGAAATGGATAATGCATTATAGATGTATTCATAATGTATATTGTAATAATGCATTATTTCTGTTCATAAATAATTGTAACCAAAGTTAAACTGCATTATAATATTTGCAGATATCATACAGTGCATTATAAGGTGCATTACAAGACATAATTAAGGCATTAAAAATGTTTATAATGCATGTATATAAAGTATTACTTGTATGAATGTTGCGTCAAGCAGTAGGCCTATTTCACATTTCAATGTTAACTAAGCAGAAAACTTCAGTATCAGTATTTTTTTAGCAGCACATGTCCACACACACACACACACACACACACACACAAACAAAACAACAACAACAGACATTACGAGTATGAGTTAAGTGTTTTTGAAAGAAGTTTCTTTTGCTGACTAAAGCTGGATTTATTTGATCAAAAATACAGTAAATATTTATGCACAATGCTATATAAAGGTATTCATGATGTACATAATGTAATGCATTATACAGTATATTTTCATAAATAATTGTAACCAAAGTTAAAATACATTATATTTGCAGATTTATCTGAAATGGATCGTTTGAGATGTGTGTTTTAATGCATTACTTTTTCTGTGTAACAATGATTAGATAGATGAGATCATACAATGTGTTACAAGGTGCATTACAAGTCATAATTAATGCATTAAATATACTTTTATGATGCATTATATATGAAGAATATGGTGTTGCCATATTTTAAAATATAATTATAATTTAAAATAACCGTTTTTTAAACTGCAGTTTATTCCTGTGATGCAAATCTGAATTTTCAGCATCATTACTCCAGTCTTCAGTGTCACATGATCCTTCAGAAATCATTCTAATATGCTGATTTGCTGCTCAAGATACATTTCATGCATATTTTACATGCTGCGAATATAGTAAAAGTAGTATGCTAGCCAGTTATTTCAAACATCGTTTGCATGTATAGTTGGGGTTTAAAGCTGAATAGGACAGCTGTTCTTACACTCGATTGAATCACACTGCAGCAAAGTAAAGTTAGTCCTTATCATGTGTCAGACTCCTTGTGTTTGTCCCTCTCTCTCTCTCACTTCTCTTTCTGTAGTTGGCTAGCAGGAGTCTTGCCCGCTGCAGTGCTGCTTGGCTTGTGCTCACTGTGATAATGACTGCTGTGTTAAGGGGGTTTCAGATGCACTGAAGTCTAACCGCCCTTTATATTCTCACAATACAGCAAAATAACTCTCAAAACAAAGACGGAATTATGTCTATAGTACTGCTTGAATTCTGCACCAGACGGCTTATTTCTCTCATTTAGTCAACAATGATTAGATAGATGAGATCATACAATGTGTTACAAGGTGCATTACAAGTCATAATTAATGCATTAAATATACTTTTATGATGCATTATATATGAAGAATATGGTGTTGCCATATTTTAAAATATAATTATAATTTAAAATAACAGTTTTTTAAACTGCAGTTTATTCCTGTGATGCAAATCTGAATTTTCAGCATCATTACTCCAGTCTTCAGTGTCACATGATCCTTCAGAAATCATTCTAATATGCTGATTTGCTGCTCAAGATACATTTCTTATTATTATCAATGTTAAAAATCAGTGTTGTTGTGCCGTTTCATATTTTTGTGGAAATAAGGAAATTTGTTTCATATTCTTTGATGAATAGAAAGTTCAAAAGAACAGCACTTTTTTTTTATTTAAATCTATGCAACATATAAATGTATTTACTGCCACTTTTGATCAATTCAATGCATGCATCTTGTGTTCTTGTTGGCAGGAAGGAAGTCAACATTTGAACACGAAACCTCACTCAACTTTCTGTAGAGTGTGGAAACTTGACCATGTGCTCCATTTAATTTCATCTCCTTCTCTCACTGTCTCTGTCACTCTCATTGTGTTCTCTGGGTCTCGCCTCAGGTGTTGTTCGTGAATGACGGTGTTGACTTGGAGGATGAGGAGGCTGGTGAGGAAGAGGACAGCTCTCTGCTGAGAGGAGGCTTTGATGAAGAAGAGTCAGCCAGGTCCTTCCAGGAGGCTCTGAAAGAGTGGAGAGAGAGAGGACAGAGACCAGGTAACACACACACTTATGCATCTGAATGTGTGTGGTTATGCTACAGTCAGACCACGGTAATAAAGTGACATGCTGTCAGGTTGGTGTGAGCTGCCACATATATTCTCTGGCAGGCTGTCTGAACACGCACAACACAGTCTCTCATAAAGCACACTCATGTGTGGCATTGACTGACATAACGCACGCCGCAAGTGCGACAGGGCTACTGATTGGTTGCCAGGTAACTACATACAGTATATGCATGACAAACATGTGCTCGTTGACGACACGTGGTCAGACTCCTTGTGTTTGTCCCTCTCTCTCTCTCACTTCTCTTTCTGTAGTTGGCTAGCAGGAGTCTTGCCCGCTGCAGTGCTGCTTGGCTTGTGCTCACTGTGATAATGACTGCTGTGTTAAGGGGGTTTCAGATGCACTGAAGTCTAACCGCCCTTTATATTCTCACAATACAGCAAAATAACTCTCAAAACAAAGACGGAATTATGTCTATAGTACTGCTTGAATTCTGCACCAGACGGCTTATTTCTCTCATTTAGTCTCTTGAGTATTTGTTTAATATAAATTCTTTAGTGGTATGCATGAGGCTAAAAAGGAAAGGGTTAAGAGTGTTTGAACGACTTCTAGGCTACATGCACACTTCAGGTAAATACGGTTATTTTCCTGTTCTGTACACACAGAGTTTTGACTGAAGGCTTGATTATTGTGGTTTTCTCTCTAGTGTCTGTGATGGAAACACAAACAGAGAAAGGATCCCAGCCGTTAATTTATGTGGCGTTCAAGGAGGACACTTTGAGCTACATGGAGAAACTCCTCTTGAAAAAGCACCGCAGGTTAGTGCTTGACACCTCACACTTTATAACCGAACAGACACATTGAATAAGAGCATTACAAGCTTCAGTTACCTTCCCAGGCCCCAATTAAGGCCCATTTAAGATCAGTTAATGACTTATGGCTGCTAATTATACAGCCTCACCTTTAAGTTGTGCCACTGCCGAGTCACTTTAGAGAGAGAGGACAGAGACCAGGTAACACACACACTTATGCATCTGAATGTGTGTGGTTATGCTACAGTCAGACCACGGTAATAAAGTGACATGCTGTCAGGTTGGTGTGAGCTGCCACATATATTCTCTGGCAGGCTGTCTGAACACGCACAACACAGTCTCTCATAAAGCACACTCATGTGTGGCATTGACTGACATAACGCACGCCGCAAGTGCGACAGGGCTACTGATTGGTTGCCAGGTAACTACATACAGTATATGCATGACAAACATGTGCTCGTTGACGACACGTGTGTGTGTTTCCAGGCGCTGCGTGCGGTTTGCAGAAATGCCTCCGTGATTTGACAACATATGACTCAATGAGTTTGAGAAACTATTCTCAGAAACTTGAATGATGATGCCAGGTCACAAGAAATTCAATCCGTTAGGGATATTAGTCAAGAACAGCAGGATATTTGTTGCTAAATGAGAGCAGACGTGATGTTTCCATGCACTTGACTTCAGGATCAGAGAATCACTGTACTCTGTTTAAAATCAAATACTAGTCTTGTGCATACTGTTAATTCTAAACCTACTATGCTTTAGGAATAGTACATAATTTGGTGTACTTTATGCAATGACGTACGTCACAACCTCATCACATTGATCTCATCAGATTAACTTGCAGTTAATTAGTGGCAGATTCATAATAAAGCTCAGAAGATTAATCAGCTGTGATCTTGATTCTAGACTTTATCAAAGGTAAAATGGTTGAGTAACTTAATATCCTACTTTATATTAATGCAAATGCAATGATTTTATTATTTATAGTACATAGTATTGCTATACAACTGCATACAGTTTTAATCAGAAGCAAATTGTTATTTAAATTAGTAAACCAGAGACAAGAAACGTCATGAGCTGGCTTTGATGTAACAGTCAGAATTAATAAAGGAGCAAATTTATTTTGATCCATGATGATACATATTTCACATCCAGTGTAGACAGGGTGTTACGTGAAATTTATTTATTTATTTATTTCCTCCCCAATTTTCTACGGGGAAAAAGACATTGAAACAAATAATGAATTTATGCAATAGCTGTCTGTTTAATTTTTTTCCCATTTTCATCTGAATAATGCATTTCATTTTGAATATATAAATAAATATTTACATATGTGTGTGTGTGTGTGTGAATTTATTGAGCTAATCAGCACCAAAGCCCCATGGTATTGCTTTAACTTTGTAAAATCTTCCTTAAACAAACACACCGGCACACAAACCTAGTGAGCTGCCTATGTAGGGACCATTTTAAGGCATCATAGGCACACTCCTAACATGAAGCCTGTTCCAAATAGTAGGGAGCAACATACTGCCTTCTAAGATGGCTTATTTTGGTATTCTAAGGAAGCATAGAGTGCAACAGTTAAGTGTAAGAAGTAAAAACTCCATTGATTTTCTTCATAGGGAAATAGATTTTTAATGATAACTTATAAACCTTTAAAGACAAACTGTTGTGAGCTCTCTCAAAATTCTTAAATATTTGTATGTATATGCATATTTTGCAATAAAATATATTGTTTCTTTAGATATAATCAACAACTTTAAATTGATAGTTTTATATTTCACCATTGTTTTTAATTCTGTTTTGTCATTCACAATGTTTCATGGGATTGTAGTTTCCCCCCTCACTAAAGCTGTTTAGTACAGAGTCTTGTACCTTTTTTGTGATTCACCTTTGTTGTGTTGGTTGTTTTGGTTCATGGCTTATAAATCTTTAATGAAGAAATTTTTTAAATCCCTTTGGGAAAAATTAATGGGAAAAAGTACTTCCGGAACCAATGGAAGTGAAAATAATGGGCTGACACTAATGCACTCATTTAGAGAATGCAATCCCAGAATGCACTGCGATAAGGTCAGTTAAAAAATTATCCAATAATCAATTAAATGAGAGAAATGTAATTGAAGCGTAATTGAAACGTATTTAAATTAAAGGGGTCATATGATGTTGCTAAAAATAACATTATTTTGTGTATTTGGTGTAATGAAATGTGTTTATGCGGTTTAAGGTTAAAAAAACACATTATTTTCCACATACTGTACATTATTGTTTCTCCTCTATGCCCCGCCTTTCTGAAACGGCGGGCGGGCTTGAGAACGGCGCGGCCGGCTGATTCGACGAAGGAGCGGCCGGCGGGCTTGCGGCAACCACATGTGACGACCCGGGGCTGGACTCCGCTTGAAAGTCGTCCACGGTGAAAGCCGATCCGGTGATGCACAGCGCGAAGTTGATGTATTTCCTCAGCGACCAGCACGGATCAGCTCCAGGCATGACGAAGCGGATGTCGTCCTCTTTAGGAAGGCCAAACAAAGTAGTTTCGCTTACACCAAGAGCTTGTAACACTCCAAAGAGAAAGGAAAAATTTAAATCGCATCATATGACCCCTTTAAAGGGAAATATAGTATAGTAAGTATAAATATTAGACGAAAAATCTAACCCTAAATAATGAGAAATGTTGCCTTGGAAACTAACTGAAAAAAAGAAAAAAAAGTTGATGTTGAAGTACTAAAATTCCTAAAACTGAATTAAAAATAAAGCTAAAAAACAAAAACGAATAAAAACGAAAAACGCACATAACAAAATTACTAAAATTAAAGGCAGAGTAAGTGATTTCTGGTAGCCAATGTTGATATTTAAAATCACCAAAACAAACACGCCCCTACCCCAAAAGGGTCTTGCAGAAGCTCTCTCCTCCACATCACGAGTAGACACGCCCCTTATTGCTGATTGGCTACAAGTTTGTTTTGCTATTCGGCCCGAATCAGTTTTCTAAAGTGTTTTTGAAAAATCACATACCCTGCCTTTAAAATGAAAACTGAAAATATAAAAACAAAAGCTAATTCAAAGTATTAATAAAGAGAAATATTGACTTTAGCTGAAAAAGGACTTTTTGTTATTGTCCTCTTGCATTATTTACAAACTATTTTCCTGTTTGACACTGTAACGCTGCTTTGACACAATCTGTATTGTATAAAGCGCTATTTAAATAAAGGTGACTTGACTTGACTTAAAGACTGTAATAGTATACACTGTAAAAAATTGGCAGGAATTTAAAGGATTAAAGAGTATTATTTTTACAATACAGTGAAATCAATGCATGCTGGGTTATTTTCTTACAACTGACTGTGAATGAACAGCAGAATGATGCTAACATCACAGTAATTTACTGCTTTTTGTTTACTGTGAATTCACATTATAAAGTTGTCTTTAACTGTGCCACTGTGAGAAATTTAGATGTTTATACTGTTATTGTTTTGAAGTCACGATAATGGTGAGCCCATATGTCTGGGCTCTTTGACCTTGCATATTCATATTTGAATTTCTGATCTAGTCATATCGGAAGTGTAACAAATGAAAACATTTGTTAAAATGACAATAAGCCAGAATATGAAATTGCCTGATTTTAGTTGAAGATAGTTGAATTATTCTTAGCATGAACATGAACATTTTATTTAAGCATTATTTAAGCATGAAGATTAATCAATAACCTATTTCATATTCATAACTGTTTGTGGATGGATCTTTCACAGTAGTGAAACAACAGCTGAGAAACGTCTTTGAAAGATGTGACATCAATACTAGACACACAAAACACAACAATGGTAACACTCAACGAATAAAAACAACACTTACAACATAAATCAATATTACAAAATAAACAAACAGCACAAATGGCTAAAAGTGAACCAAAAACAAGTTCAGTAGCACAAATAAAACCAACAAGAATTTAAAAAAATCTTCAGCATGATCTATCCATGTTGCATTGCATGCTGGGTGCCTTCAGAGTACATATGCACTGTAGAAACACAATATGATGCTGTTCAAGTCCCACTGTGAAATTACTGTGAAAGTAATGCAAATATTAACCTGGAAAATACTGTAATTTCACACTAAAACTTTTAACAGTGTATAAATAATACTAAATTAACACTGTGTAGTACATTCTAGATCAGTCAAGCTTCCATTTCAGTTAGGGTGCTGCCTTTGAAGACAGCCATCTATGTAGGCAGCACACTAAGTTTTGAAACAGAGCCAGTGAAACAGTTCTTCTGCCCCCCAAAAGATTGCGATGCTCGCCTACGAAATGAGAAAGCCTGACAAAAGCGAGCAAAACACACAAACACAGTATCTGTAAACCCTCCTAAGTGCTTTGAACCGCTTCTCGGGCTTCTTGAGCAGTATGGTATCTGTGGCAGCGATGGTATTTAGGTCGGCTATTCAAGAAAGGTCTAATTGTGAATCTGTTAAATTGCCTTCTTGTGTGAAGAATCACGGAACAGGAAGCTGGATTTTTCCAGCATGTGTTTTTGTGTGGGTTCTGTGGGAGGAGGGCAGACGTGTGGCCCAGGGCTGCAGCTCACACTCTGGAGGAATGGAGTGTGTGATAGGGGTGTCTAATCCCTTCATACGCTCACAAACACTCACACGCACACACAATGAGGAAAGCAGGTTGTCCTGCTGAGGCAGCAAGAGTTGGCTTCAGGAAGGGAGACGAGAGCACAACGAATAAAAGAGAGAGACGTTTGTATGGTAAATCGCCGGGAAAAGGAAGGGAAAGGTTTAAAGGACTAAACCTGTGGATCAGGGGAATCTGGCTGAGCTGAGATTTACTCTCGGACCCAGGAAGTCTGGGTCATCAACTTCCTTCAGCCGCTTTCATTTGTTATCGGATCGAAATGATGTCGCTTTCCTTGTATTAACTGAAGAGAGAATACACTCTTTGTATGCTCTGTTGAAACAGCTTTTACATTTAACTTTCATAATGTGACATAAGTTTGGGGCCAGTAATATTTTTTTAAAGAAATAAATATTTTTATTAAGCAAGGATGCATTAAATTGATCAAAAGTGACAGTACATACATTTATAATGTTATAAAAGATTTCTGTTTTAAACAAATGCTGTATTCATCAAATAATCCTGAAAAAAGTATCATGATTTCCACAAAAATATTAAGCAGAACAACTGTTTTTAACAATGATGATAATAAGAAATGTTTCTTGAGAAGCCAGTCAGTATATTAGAATAATTTCTGAAGGATCATGTGACACTGAAGACTGGAGTAATGATGCTGAAAATTCAGCTTTGATCACAGGAATAAATTACATTTTAAAATGTATTAAAATAGGAAGTTGTTCTTTTAAATTTTAATAATTTTCAAATAAATGTAGCCTTGTTAAGCAAAAGGAGACTTCTATTATTTGTATTATTGTTATCATAATTATTACAATAATTATTAGTATATGCTGCAAGAACATCTTGTTTTTCGCTATAAATATTTAAGTATTCATATATAAACAAACTATGGCAAACAGGTTTTTCTTACATTTCTTGCACATAAACCTCAAAAACGTTTAGACCTTAACATCTCGTTTTGCTTCTTAGAGTAAATTTGTTTTGTTTCAAGGAAGTTAAGAAGAAAACAAGAAAATCAATTTAAAAAATATAAAAAAATATACTAGAACACAAGAAAAAATATTTAAAAAATGATTACGTATTTGTCACATTCATAAGTCATGGTATGTCACTCAGCTACACTATTCTTAGTGTCAATATATCGCTATGACACTCAATTGTATTTGGAGAACTTGATCCAAAAGGGGCCTAATTTTACAGACCTTCATTAACATTGACAAGTTGACTACTCAATCAGACAGCCCACCAACTAGCTGTTTTTGAAAATGTGTAGTTGTACACATCCCTAAAATAATGTAGGGCAAGGCTTGATTTTATACATCAGGAATCGATTAGGAAAAAAAAAAAAAAGCTGAAAGGAAGTGAAACATGTCAGGCTATAACATTATTGGCTAATGTTATTTTTTCCTACTGGGGAAATATTTTTTCAGAGGAGGATAAAGCTTTTACTAAAGTGCTGTGCTGTGCTGAAATGTTGTTTATTTATAGTTGCACCATTGAGGAAAGGGAGCCTGATTAATTATCCTCAAATTTCTGAGTGTGATTTACTGGGAGCAGCGTTATTTTCTCTCCCTCAGAGGACAAATTGAAGAATTTCAGCACCGGTCTGTCGTCCAACGCCGACCGGAACCACCCACACCTCCACCCACAGAGACGGATGAACTGAGCCGAAAACTGACAGGTGTGGCCCGTTTCATCTCTCTCACACACACACACACACGCACACACACACACACACGCACACACACACACACACGCACACACACACACACACGCACACACACACACACACACACACGCACGCACGCAATTAAACAGTAAACTGATAATAGACATAATAGACATTCACGTCACACAATTTTAAACATGAAATCACTTTTGACCATATTTATGTTTTTATATATATATATATATATATATACAAATATTTTTTTCTGTACAGGTTAAGGATATATATATATATATATATATAAATTGTTTTTTTTTTTTGGTCACTGGAAACTTGCCATATCGTCATACCTGAGTTCGACCATGGATGGCAAGGAATGGTGTGTGACCGGTTGTGTACATGCTGCGATTCACATAGACCCGTAGAAGTGCTCTCTCTCAAAAAAGTTTCCTCTCACAGCTGGCAACTCGGATCCATCACTCCGTCCCTGAAGGGTAATCACAGAGCTGATTGAGAGAAGTTTCTAGGTGCTGCTGAGAGGCCAGTTACTTTCAATTGTTTTACTTCAGTGAAAGGTTAGATTTTTGTTCTTCTTTGCTCATATTTACCTTTCTTTTTCTTTTTTTCTTGCAAAAATTTAAAGGGATAACCCACCCCAAAAATCTGTCATTTACTCACCATTTACTCAGCCTCAAGTTGTTCCAAACCTGTATGAGTTTCTTTCTTCTGTTAAGCACAAAAGAAGATGTTTTGGAAAATGTTGGTAACCGAACAGTTGATTGTAGCCATTGACTTCTATAGCATGGAAAAAATACAATGGAAGTCAATGGCTACTGTCAACTGTTTGTTGATGTGAATTTATTGTGCAAAATAGGACCAGATATATGTATTATAAATACGGTTGCAAAAATTATATATATATATATTTATATATATACAGTGGGTACGGAAAGTATTCAGACCCCCTTAAATTTTTCACTCTTT